ATATTTTTATTACTATTATCATCGACATCAATAAGAGAATTGAACATCTGATTCTTTGGCCATTTGAAAGACTGCAAACCCCTGCAATCCCAGAATATTAACAAATACTTCTACAGAATGATTGCTTTAGTGTTTTGTTTAAATTGTTGTCAAGTAAGACAAAAATAATATCTCACCTTAATAATGTGATTCTTTTAGAATTCCAGAGATGATCTAAGAACAAAGTAAAGGTATATTTTAAAAGGCCCCATTATAATGCTTGGATACTTTAAAAAATAATAACTGGCTTGAACTGAAGTGTTGGTGGTTGGTTATAAGCACACACTATAGGTAAACCCAAGTGAGATACTGGGGCTGAGATCCTTGAATATGTTCCTGGGGTCACACAACCTGTTAGTGTCTGTGTGTAGCATTAAATGTGACTTAGGGCCTGGATCTTTATTGTGTAAACATAAATAAGAATCCTGTGTTATAGAAACTACATCTATATCACTTGAGCAAAGGAGTATAAAATAATACCTTAAAAAAAAAACGTAGACAAAAATAAGAGTTTCAGCTCTGGACAAATAAGATCTGACACTCCTCCTCCAAGGTGTGTGATATTTTTATTCTGCTAACTTACATATCATGCCAACACACTTATCCATTGTAAGGCATAAGGAAGACCAGAATATTTAATAAACTAATTAAAATTTAAAAAGTTATTTGCTGGCTTTTAGCAAATGAAAGTATGGATATTTAATAAAATAAATTTATTTTTCAATTAATTGAACCATTTTATCCTCTATATATTTTTTCATGTACATATTTAAAACAACTAGATAAACATATTAGGAAAGGAAAACTTGTCCTCTAGAGATCAAGAACAATAACAAAGTCAATGCAGAATCATTATTTTAAGAGACCGAAGGTAGGATCATTCAAATCTTGTCATTTGGCATTAAACAATAAAATCTAAAGCTGTTTCAAAAAATGAACTAAATTCCCAGCCTGAAAGTAATTGCTGTTCTTTGTCCTATGTATGTATATAATCAATATAACTAAGAAAGAATCACAGGCAAGCCTGGGCTACTGTCAAGCAATTGATTATTAGCCATCAGAAGGGAAATGTTTACTGGCTCATGGCAACTAGTTTCTAGAGAGAAAGGCAAAGAGATCTGATTTTAAATGATGCCTTTTCCTTACATCCTATGACCAATCAAGATCATCCACTTCTTGAAAGTGTCAGAACCCCATTTTTATTTTCCTTTTGCTGTTTTAACTAGAATACTGATAAAGAGGGGAGAGCAGTTGCTATAAGGCAAAGAAGTGTCCTGGCAGTTGAGGGCCCTCCATTTATCAAGGGGAATTTGCAATGTTGCCTCTCTTCAATACCGTATAGATTTGTAGGATTTTGTGAAACACTTAACCAAAATTGAAGGATTTTAAAACAGAATGCAAGATATAGACACGATCACTTTTTCAAAATCAAGATGTTTTAGTTTTAGTTCAGAATTTTCTGGTCTTAAAATCTTAAGCATGCAGTAATGACAATCATCTCTGGAAAATACGTCTGAAAGGATGATTACTGTGGACAACTTAAATATATTCATATATTATAGATGCCTAAAGATTAAAAACTCTTAGTGGAATTGAGACAAACTATATCCAATTACAAGAAAACAAATACTTATCTAATTAAATAATAATATTCACAAGCTTTGTTAAGTTGCAAATAAGTTCAAGTGTCCAGAACATCAAACAATATATGAAAATCTGGAAATAATGTCCAGTTAGATGCTTACTTGCGATTCTAAGAATCTCCTGGGAATTGGAGGCAATTCGTACATATCTCCAATGTGTAAAAAACATATGATTAGCTTGACTACCTTTTCCTATTGACCCAATATCAAAATAATTTTCCCCCTCCCATGTCTATGAATTTATGTGATGTGAAAAGGCAATACAGAAAGTACCATTCTCTAATTCTGGCTTTCCTGCATTTCTTCAGAAAGCACAGTTTATATGGAACAATTTATTGGAGACCCTGGGTTCTAGCTCTCAGAGATAATTCAGCTAAATCTGAGGAACACAGTTGAGAGGAAGTTTGGCCTATAACAGAGGCACTTACGGTAGAGGAGGAGGGAATCCAAGATCAAGCCAGGAAGCTGCAGCCCTTTTTAGAACCAGGAGCTACAGGGTTTTCCTGGGACATCTAAAATGCAGACTGAGGCCCAGGAATACTCTTCCCCAAGCCAGGGAACATGAAACTAGAAGTAATATTTGGAGCAAATCCCAGGGCCAAGTCTTCCCCAGAGCACAAATGCTAGATGGTGGATGTATCTCTGCTTTAGGAGCCAAACACTAAGAGTAAAAGCAAATATTTGATGCTGAAGAGCTCTTAAGAGCTGAAGAGCGCCATTTACTTATTTCTACACGTCAGTGTGGGCTTAGGATGTTAAATAGATTAAAAGGCTAAGAGAGGTCAGTCACTCAAGGAAAGACTCCTCTTTTTCTTCTCCTGACTTGGTTCTCTTCCCTAAATTGTTATCCACCCCACCCTACTCCTGTGGAGGATCCTTGGGAAACTGGAAAGATAACAACTCCTCTCCTAGAACATCCTAGAGAAGGAGTCAGTGCTGGGGCTAAGAATTCAAGAACCAGAGGGAGGAAGGAGTCTAAATGTCCAGCTAGTAAATGTTACAATGAAGATAGGTTTAGAAAAATTCCTGAGATACAGAATCATAAAACTGGCAGGGTCCTTAGAAATTGCCAAATGTATTCTCCTATTCTCTTCCGTATCAGACGAATTAAAAAAAAAAAAAAAAAAAAAAGAAGGAAGCTTAGAGAAGTGAGGTGGTTAGAGTTAGGTAGGGGCAGAGCGAGGATATAAACAGATTTCTAGGTCAGAGCTCCTACTACCTGACACAGCCTCATAGTTCAAGACCTCATAGTTCAAGAATCAGTCTTAACGCTTGCTTCCCCAGGACGGTCTTTGACAGTGCCTTATCTTCTCACTAGGGAGGCAGGCTGGCAGAGATTGTCAGGCCTTGGGCTCCGGCCAGAGAAAAGTCCACGAGGCCTGAGCCAGTCTGCGACCTACCCACTCTCTAGATGCTGGGGGATTGGGAGCTGGGACGCGGTGAAAGGCGGGTTTCCAGACTCCGATGCCCCCTGCCCACTCCACGCTCCCGCCCGGGCCCCGTCTGCAGAGAAGACAGCCAAGTCATTTCAGTTTAATCTTATTTAAAAAGACATAACTAATAAATCTATTGCCGGGGACACGGAAAGACGGCCAGCAGAGTCGATCGTGCTCCCAATCCCATTGAACCCCATTGAAAACCATGACAACACCGGACAAGCTCCGATTTATCCCCGCGCGCCAAAGCGCATTGTGAGCAGACGTCAATCACGCATTATTCCGGACTGAACAAATGCAAAATCTTGACTGAAACAAATGCTTCCAACAGGTCCGGGGCGTCGAGCTCCATTTCCCCTTTGTCCGCGGCCTAGCAGTTGGCCTGTATTGGGGTTGCCTCCGCCCGACCACCCAGCGCGCGGTGCAGCCCCGGGCACCTCCGGCACGCTTGATCGGGAGGCTGCTGGGGAGGGTGTGCGGGGCTTGGCGGGGCTGCGGCCGCCGCATCCGAGCCAGGTTCGAGTTCAGCCCGGGAGGAGCCAGCACTGCTGGTGCAGCCACCCAAGTACAGAGACCTTCGCTACAATTTAGCAGCTAAATATCCAAACTACTAGCTTCAGGAGGAGAGGCCTCTGAGAGGGCGTTCCTGAGCTGTAGTTTGAAGCGAGGCCAGGGCGAGGCCATGGGCCAACAAAATGTATCCACGCCTGCCGGTTCCCTGCGCCTCCTACATTGATCGTTTTCCAGGGTGAGGCTGTGGAAACTAGAAGATCCCAGAGAAACCCCTGGCCGGTGTTATTTTCTGCCAGGTGAGCCCTGTCCCAATTCTCCGGATAGGTCCATTCCCCGACCAGGCCGGGCGGCAGCGCCAGAGTCTGTCACGCTACGGAGAGGGGAGCTCAGGCCATAGGCTGGCTCCTGAGCAAAGGCCAAAGCCCAGGCACTGCGACTGAAGTTGAGGCTATGGGGACAAGGCGAACAAGCGGCGCCAAATCATCTGGCGACTCCAAGGAGGCCTCAAAACCCTCATAGGACACCTTGAGAAACGCAGCCGTCCGTAGGCTCCAGAATGGGCCTGAGCCAAAATTTGCGAAGCACATCCTCGGAGCCTGGGCCCTGAGACCCGCAGCGGCCGGGAGAAGCTGGGCCAAAGAGACAGGCACTGTAGACTTAAGAAGTTTGGCTACATGCCCCCTCCGTTTTTGAGGACAGACTGGGAGCCAGCTTTGCCGGCCGTTTTGCTGGCCTGTGGAGACACGGAGCTGCGGCTCGGCAGGTTGTCCCAGCCCTTCCTCAGCACCCCTGAGGCTGTTGGGGGAGGTATGGGGTGATCTGAGGCTTCCAGTGGCCTTTGAAACCCTTGGCCCAATGCTGGCAGGGCCAGGCTATCCTCTGTGCCCTCCTGAAATTTGTCATCCTGAATCCTTAGAGGGGCCCAACCAAAAAGAGAAAGGGAGCCCTTCAGAGTTTAACGCGGCTTTGTAAATCACTTTCTGGATAATTGCGGGAAACTAACAATCCAGCCAACAAGCTCGAGGAATAAAGCAAATAGGGAATAAATTCCTGGGTGCTCATAAACCTACCCCTGCCGCCCCCACCGTTCTCGGAGCTCCCGCGGGGCCTGGCCTCAAGTCAGATCTGGAGGAGGAGGAGGAAGCTGGGGCTGGGTCGGGCGGGTGGTGGCCACCGCTCGCCACCCAAGATGTTATTCACTGGTAACAATCCCCATTATCTGTCCCCACTTTGGGCTAATCAGACAGAATCGCTAATGCCGAAGGCTGCTTCCTGCCGCCTCTGGGAGGTAACTGGGCGCCGAGGGGCGGGGTGCGGGGCGGGGCGGGGGCGGAGGTGGCACCTTCCGGGCTCGCCCCGGCTTTGGTCCAGCGCTCATTCAGGTACTTAACACCCTGGAGACCCGGACCTCAGCTTTCAAAGAGACCAGGGTGGGAAGAGCTGTTTATATAAACAGGGATTCTGCTGTAAATGCGCTAATATCCCGGCTGCCCGCGCATGGCGAGCGCCTCCCACACCCGTCCGTAGGAGAGGCGTCCCGGCCGCTCCTCGGTTCCAGCCTGCCCTGCCCCCGCCTCCTTCCCCTCCTCGACCATGGCCACCTCTGGACGCCAGAGCTTCACTGTGCGCAGCCTTCTAGATTTACCCGAGCAGGACGCACAGCACATGCCGAGGCGGGAGCCAGAACCACGCGTCCCCCAGCCCGACCCCTGCGCCGCCTGGCTGGATTCGGAGCATGGCCACTACCCTTGTGAGTGCGCGGTGGACTGCGGTGCGGGTGGGAGGTAGGAGGCGTGGGGCAGCAGAATCAAGGGCCCGGCCCACGCGGGGCCAGGAAGCCGAAATCCCAGCCCAGGATCTGGATTTCCTCAGTCTTGAAAACAGGAGCCCTATCCTGGAACCCCTAACGCATTCGTCCCAGTAGGCACATCCTGAGAGCAGATCCCTGCCTGGCCCCGAGATTTGAGGTTTTTGTGTCTGGCGATTCCTAGGGGTCGGAATATTTAAATGTTTAAAACATGCCGTCCCCCTCCCTTCTGATCTCAAGCCTGAAAACGCTGCCACGATCTCCAGGCCTTGGTCTTGGATTGCAGTGTTGGCGAGTTTACCCCCACCCCTTCCCACTCAGGGCTCCGCAAACCTCGGCTCATTGCAGTGCAGTCGACCTGGAGGAGGCCGGCGACGGTGACCCAGCTTGAGATAAACAGGTCGGCCAGCGCAGCTACCGGTGCGGACATGTTAAGAGGGCCCCGGGGTGGGTTTCTTGGGGGCACGATCTCAGGCCCGCTGAGACTGCTGTGGTATGAACGCAGTCACTGCATTCGGAGAGGTGGGTTTCCAGACGTAGACTCAGGAAATGGCCTCACCCCGAAAGTCGCGTGCTAGTGGGCGTGCCCTCCAGCCGGTGGCTCCACGCCCGCGCCAGACGGGCAGCAGGCCCTCGGAGGGTCCAGCATCTCACCCGCGCATGTCTCCTTTGCCGTCCGTAGCCTCAGACGAGAGCAGCCTGGAGACCAGCCCGCCAGCCTCGTCGCAGCGGCCGTCCGCTAGGCCAGCGTCTCCGGGTTCGGACGCGGAGAAAAGGAAGAAGCGGCGGGTGCTGTTCTCCAAGGCGCAGACGCTGGAGTTGGAGCGGCGCTTCCGGCAGCAGCGGTACCTGTCGGCGCCCGAGCGCGAGCAGCTGGCTAGCCTGCTGCGCCTCACGCCCACGCAGGTCAAGATCTGGTTCCAGAACCATCGCTACAAGCTGAAGCGCGCGCGCGCGCCGGGGGCCGCAGAGGCGTCCGACCTGGCAGCGTCCCCCGAGCTGCACGCCGCGCCCGGCCTGCTGCGTCGCGTGGTGGTGCCGGTGCTTGTTCGCGACGGGCAGCTGTGCGGCGGCGGCGGCGAGGCGGGAACGTCCGCGGCCCAGGACAAGTGCGGCGTCCCTCTGGCAGCCGCCTGTCCTCTACCGGCCTACCCCGCCTTCGGCCCCGGCTCTGCGCTTGGCCTCTTCCCTGCCTACCAACACTTAGCGCCCCCCGCCCTGGTCTCCTGGAACTGGTGAGGCTGCTGGGGGGTACCTGGGGCTACCCCGGACTTTGGAGCGCGCTCTGCGGCTGAAACAGGGCTGGAGCCGAACACTTGGAACGCTCCCCGACCGCCTCCCTGCAGCCCCATCTCCCTAGGCGTCAGGGTCCCCTGGCGCGCCCTCACCTGCCGTCGCGCAAGCACACACCCGGGACGTGTGCCAGAGCCCCTCCCCCTCCCTCGACAGGGGCTGCCTCGAGAGTTAGATTTTATGTTTGGACCTTATTTGTATATTTTTAAATAGCGATTTGTATGTGAAGCAAGTTATTTTTTAAAAAAAATAGAGTATTTTTCCTCGTGGTTCGAGAATAAAATGTGTAGGGTTGGGTCTCCTGTGCGCCTGCCTGGAACGTAGGCAGGAACTGTGCTCCCCAGACCGGTGTTGGCAGCGCCCGCTCACCCCTTGACTGGCTAAGCGGGGCCCAGCCCCGGTTGTGTCGAAGGGAGGATTACAGCTCCAAGGCGGCTTTAGGAAGATTCGGGGCTGGGGAAGGGCGGCGGCGGCGGGAAGGGCGGTGGTGTCAGGATTGGGCGCGGGAAGGAAAGGAGAGGAGGAAGCTGAGGCAACTTTGGGATCCTTGTCAGCGGGAGGCGGCTCTGGCCCCAGAGTGACTCCGAGGCTCCGCTGGGCTCGCAGAGCTGCTGGCGTTCCAAATACCGAAAAGTCAACCCCGCGGACCGCGACAGGGCAGGAGTTTCTCCGGAGATGAGCCGGCAAGGCCAGGTGTGCGGCGCACTGCACCGGAGCAGCCCAGGCCTGGCTGCAAGCTGTTTCCACAGCGCAGGAGCCAAGTACTCGGGACCTGAAGAGCACCGGGAAACTTGTAACCCCTAGTTAAGCCTGCAGGTGCCTCTTTTGGCTGTGATTTCATGTCTCCTCTTGGCACAGTACCTGGCAGGGGTGGGGAGCCTGACGTGGGGACATCAAAGGGTCGGGGGAACGACTGGCACAAGGCACGCCTCCGAGGAGCTCTGGGAAGACGCGGCTCCCAGCTGAGGGAGGACCGCCTGAGGGAGCCTTGGGAGTCCGAGGTTGGGGTCAGAACCGCTGGTCGGCGTCACTTCACCCCTGCCAGTGCACACTAGCACCCCTTGGGTTTGTAACTGCCCCCCAGGGCCTCCTGTGCAAACAGTCTCTCACAGAAGCGATGACCCTGGCACCCACTGCTGGGAGATGCGCCAGAGGAGAGCAGTTGGGGCATCAGGTGCAGGGGAAGGGAGCAAGGGCCCTGATGAGGTCTGTGAGGAGGAGGCATGGGCCTGTTAGGGACTTTAGCTTTCTTGTCCAAAGAGGAGGAAGGGGAGGAGGAAGGGTGGCTGAGGCAGTGTTATCACCTGGGATTTTTGGGGGGTGGAGAGAGAAAGAGAGGAGGGGAGAGGGGGAAGAGAGTGGGGTGTTTGGGTCTCAGCTGCCAGCCACCTTGCCTTCCATATGGATGCGGTTATCTTAGAAGAATCTCCATCCTTAAACCTCCTTTTGTCTTGGGAACTGAAAAGGGCATTGTCGGGCCTGAAAAGGACCTAGACAAAATCCGCACTGTTTGGATCCAGGACTCTGTTTAATCAGTCCCTGGTGACAATGTAGTGGGGTGTTAGGCAGGACAATAGCATCTTTTTAAACCTTGTGGCCTTCAGGAAGACAAAGGGCTTGAATTTTATGGGCTTACAACTTCAATTAGAGCAGTGCCAGTGTGCATGGGAGATTATCAAATTTGTATCATAAAACCCCTTTCTAATAAATGATTGCTGAGGAGGGAGCCTGAACATTGTAAGACAGATATTGGGACCTGCCAGGGGGCTTCTCAGTTAGGCCCGGCAGAGCAGGTGGAAAAGCAAAGGAGGCAAGCCGGAGGCTGGTGCTGGGACTGGCCTCTGCTCAGCTGGCCGGGTGTTTGGATCTTCCGTGCTTTTCCTACATAGATTTTCTCCAAGAAGGGGGATAAAGATTGGTAGCTTGTTTTCTACTATTGGTGGTCACAAAGATCACCTGAATATTCTTAGGGAGAAATTGAAAAATCGCTACCTGTCCAATTCCTTGACTCTTCCTAGAGCTCCAGAGAAAGGTCTTGGAGTGTGCTGTGGAGAGGGCCTATTACATAGGAGGCCCTAAGGATGAGGGGGTTTAGACTATGGAGACGGCCTCCTTCCAGGAGGCTCTTTGGGAGAGTCAAATTCATCCTTGTTCTAAATGGTCAGTAGAGGTCTAACCAAGAAGCCACATTCAGCTGCTTGCCAGTGGGGTGGTCAGAGCCACGGCAAGGTGCCCACCCAGGAGCCAGCTTGTGTGCTGGGCAAGAGGAGGGCAGCCGTTCCCTGTGACAGTAGCGCCAGCAGCCGTAAGAGATAAACTGTGGTCCACTTCCTTTCTCTCCTTTTCTTTTGGGCTGATAAGGTCCTTCCTTTTAAAAAGGAAAAACCCTTAGGGGAAAGTTTAAAAAGCACTCTCATTACCACCAATCCATTTTAGAGACCCAGGCTGTCAGATATTTTTGATTTGTTTTCTTTTCACTCCTGTGATAAGCTGGAAAAGATGAATTTCCTTGGTGGTCTAAAGATCAATTCTTATAACTTCTGACAAAAGCTGAACCCAAGGCCTCTCTACCAGCCACTGTGAGAACAGTTAGGACCTCCCGTCCTGGATGAAAGTACTTCAAACCTGTCACCCATTATCAACATCACAAGCCAGATTCATACTCAGCCAACTTTTATCAAAACTTACTGTGTTACAGGCATTTGTAAAGGTACTTTCACAGTTGATCATACAGAAACCTTATACACTGTATACATAATATCCCCATTTTATAGATGAAAAACTGAAGCTCAATGGGTGGGGCCAAGTGACTTGCCCAAAGCAGTTACAAACCTCAAGGAATGTTGCTGTTGATCTCAGCCTTAACCCATATTTAGTCACCCTACAAGCTGCCCTTGAGAACAGTTATAATCTGGAGATGATTATAATATATATGTATATCACACAACCCTTATAAGCTTTCTTATGGATAGTCTGGGAGGATAAGAACACACTTAAAAGCCCTCTACACAGCTCAGGGCCACTCAAGAGGATGGCCATGTATCACAATGGTTGCTAGTATGTACTGATGTTTTCCGTGTATCGGGTGATATTCTAAGACATTTATCTCCTATTAACTCATTCCCTTTTCACAACTCCACCAGATACTACTATTACTATGAAGTGAGAAAATTGAAGGCCAGAAAGGTTAGAAGAAATTTGTCCAGGGTCATACAGCTGGTAATTGACATGGAGAATCTGAACCCAAGCAGTCTAGTTCCAAATCCTACAACTTTGACCATATGGTGGGAATTATTTCCCCCTTTTCGTGTTATTTCTCCCAGTTAATAGTTCTGGTTACCTTCCTCACAGGTGCTTCTCTAAAGATGTGCTCTTTAGCATCTCTGTCTCTCTGTCTTTCTCTCTCCCCATATCTATCGGAACTTCAGTTTTGGGGACACAGCTTCTGTGTTTCTGCTAAGTCTGTTTGTGAGCATTCTTGTCCAGCTGTCAATGAAACACAGCTCTTGTCTGCAGCTTACAACATTCTCCTGTGACTATCATTCCACCATTCTTCTTCCAGAAAAACATCTGCTGCTGCTGCCTTGACACCAGTTGTCCACTCAGTGTTCCGCAGAGTTGCTGCTGACTCCGATAAGCTCCCCTAAGCTCTTTCCCAGCCCCAGGCCCAGGTCCCTGGGGAGCTTTATGGTTTGGGCTTTCCTACCCCTCTTCCCAGTCATCTTTTTCCTCCCTAGGTCTCCAGTTTTATCTTTATTATTAAACATCACCCTCTTCTCATTTTCTGTCTCTTCTTCCATTGTAAACATTTTCACTTCATCTCACTTAAGTTTCTTGCAGGCAGAGATTGCAATTTTCACTTCAATTTTCTTTCCTCATTGTTCAGAGGATCTTACATCTCAGCACATCTCTTATCTGACCAATTTAGCACTTTAGGATCTTAAATAATGTGCTCCTGATGGGAGAGAAGAAGTTATTTGAGCCCAGGTTAACCTATACTTTCCCTTCTAACAATGGTATTTAGACGTTGTTTATTCTCTTGCCTTGTTGACACCATTAATTTGTCTCTATCTTTCTCTCTCTCTCTCTCTCTCTCTCTCTCTCTCTCTCTCTCTCTCTCTCTTTCTTTTCACTACCTTCAAAACATCTTTGACTTATGAATAAAATGCCCAGGCAATATAGTTGTGGGCTTAGCATGGCTCAACATTTTGTTAAACATGTTTATCTGTTCTGGGTGTATCAGTTAACCAGCCTAAGCAGGTTATCTGTAAACGTGAATAATAGTCAAGAGAATTTTCTGAATGCCGAGAAAGTAGTTCCTACCCCAGGATAAGATGATTTCTGTAACTGTGATTGCATCAATTAGTATTCAAAATCTGCATGAGAAATTGTATCCTGGTCACTCATCATTTTTCCAAGCCATGCTGTGGGAGAGGGTTTTCTAGATGGTACCTTCATTAGTTTCAGAATTTCAATTCTGTGCCTGTTTGTTTCCCCCCACCCCCTGCCATAACTAAAGGTGTATGGCGTTTCCCCTTCTCCTTTCTACCCACCACTCTTGTTACACAGTCTGTAAGTCCGCCAAAGAATTGAACAGTATTCTCTGGATACTGAGCCATAGAGTGGTGACTTAACTTTAGAGAGAAACCAGAAAGAATTGCTTAGTATTAAACAGTTGAGTTCTCCTTCCATCCCATATTTTTTCCATATCTCCCTCAAATTCTCAAGCACAGAGATTCTTATTTGTTTTCCAACCATGTCCAGTGGAGAGTTTTATTATTTATCCAGGAAAACAACATTATCACATATTAGATATAGAGATCATTTCTCTTCAATAACCTGCCCTATGGACCAATAAAAAATTTCTAGGTCTTTACTGAGGTCATGTAATTTCAAAAGCTGCTATAATTTCACAGAGCTTCTCTGAGTTGGGTGCTATGGAAGAAACCTTTGAGGGGACTTTGGTCATGCTTTATTTCCTCTTGTATACTGACTGGGTGGTCCTTTATGAGTCAACAGGTTTTCAGATGCTTTTCCCTAGCTAAAAGCTCTGAATTGAACTGGCCCTTTTCTTTACTCCCAATACCAACTGCATTTTCTCTGTCTCTTTTCCTAGGGACTGGAAAGGCTATTTGGCAGAATTCACCAGGAAGAGAATGGAGTCTGTTTGCAAATTAAAGTAGAGACAAAAGGTTCAGAAAAAAATTCATGAAACAGGTCCTTGAATCTCTCACCTGAGATATCTTTCTCCTGATATATCTTACTCCTCCAGCTTTGCTGAAGGATTGTGTATTAAGTAGCTATTCTTCCAACCCTAAAGAAGTTATCAGCTGTGGTTTAAATGATCCCTTGGTAGGTAAATTCTCAACTAGAGGCAACCCCAATTCACCATAACATGTCAGGGTCAGTGGCAATCAGATAAGCATCAGTACAATGGCAAGAACGCATTTTTACAACAAAATTGAAATACAGAGTAAGAGACCCAAATTATCAGGAAAAGACAAATCTGGTATGGTGAGTAAAGAAAAAACTGCTTTTCTGGGACACTGTTTTTACTGCCTCATCACACTGATAGATTCAGTCATCTATCTGACTAAGTGTTAAGTTGTGCTCCTGATTCACCGAGAGAATGTTTCAAATTTAACTCAAGTTAAAATGTGGAAAAAGGGAAGGGTTTTCTTATTTCTCATATTTGTGGATGGAACATTATCTTCAATAAGGCCAGTCATTTCACCAATTTGGGGCTGGTAACAAAATAAAACAGATCCTCCAGAATTTTGATGTTCAGGAGACATTACAAGAATCCTCCCTCTCCTCACTGA